TGCATTGTTGTGTTCATTTATATGTTAAACTCGTAAACGACATTAGTTTAGTTGTAGATGAAGCCCGAATGTGTCTGCAGAGATGATTCCGTGAGCAGAACGCGCTCAGCTCGCGCGCGTACAGCCCACTTGGAGGAGCAGACAAATATTTTAACAGCAGGTCATGTCGCACTTTTTTTTTTTTTAAACTCCTCTGAGACATTCCTTTCAAATTGGTCACTCTATGGAGTTATTTGATTGTCTTCAGTGCTGCTGCTGCTGCCGCTGCCGCTGCGCCTTTGTGCCTCCCCTCTCTCACTCCGGTTGTCCACATACCAAATGATTACCCACATGTCGGCACAGTTATTGTGTGTAGACTTGCCTTCATTGACCGTGAATGGGTGTTTCTTTCCCTCAATTAATGAATTAATTATGCCTCCGCTGGGTTCCATCACTTGCACTTTAGCTTTGAGTGGGATGGTTGCCATGGTGCAGCTCACTAACTATGCAGCCTTTTTTTTTTTTTTTTTTTTTTTTCTAACTTCAGAGTGAATGAGGAGCTCAGACTCCTCCTTTCGTTTTCTCACCATGCACCAGTCATCAGTTTCAGGGGAACAGGAACAGCAGACTTGAATGTGTGTGCCACCTTTACAATGGTTACATTTCCACATGTGCAGTTTGATTGTTACCGCAAGTCTGAATGGCCTTCTTAATACTTACTACAATAAGGGTTAAATTGGGCTAATTGACCCACAAGAGTATCACTTAGCCTCTTAGAATTGAATTATCAAGGCTTTATTCATCTACCCATGTATCCAATTATTAACTGGCACATCCATAAATGGATTTTAATACCTGCTTACTTTTGGAGCAGTTTTAGAAATATTGAGAATTTGGCATCAGTATTTCTGTATCACCACCTTACAGCAATATTTAAACATGTGCCACCACTATTAAGACTGACCTGAGTTAAAATGTATAACTGCTAGAGATAAAAAAAAAAAAAATGCAGCTCTGGTGTAGAAAACCAAAATGTGGACCTCCACTGATTTTATTACATTCCAGGGATTGTGTCATAAAGCCTCGAGACAGTGCATGAAGTAATCATTTCACCAGTCTCTTCTCTAAAGATTAGTTCCAGACTCCAAAAGCAAAACAAGTAACTGCAAGATGGCTTCATCAACACCACCTAGAAAGTTTCTTGCAGCCTCACAATTCTGCAAACTGCCTGGCTAGAGTTGTTTTTACTCATCTGCCCAATGTGTAACTTCTGGAGTTTGTTTTCTCAATCAGGATTACACTCCGTCGCCTCCAATTAAAAGTCTATATGCTGCGAGCAGGAGTTCTTCAATTTATGAACTCAGTAGGCCTGTGTTCTATTTAGAAACACATGATATTGTGAACGTATGGGCTGAACTTTGACTCTTCTTGCAGTAATGTTTTCCTTACTCTAAGTTTACCCTGCTACTGTAACTCGATGCACATGTGTTTTTAATGATGCACCATCGAGTATATCAGATGGTGTCATCTTCAAAGCAAAAGGTTTGTGTTTTTTTTAAATCCGGAACATCTTACACAAACAGCTGTACAAACCCATGCTGCTCTTGCTGTGGGAATGAGGTGATTCTTCTTGTGATGGACTCTCAGTAACCTTCAGGTAATTGTGAAAAACAAGCCAATTTATCCTCGGTTTTTGTTCAACCTTGGTAGTGCATGTGTATCTGAGGCCTGTGTTAGCTTTTTAGGCTCTAATAGATTTATGTTTGAAGACTAATTTTGGGCACAGAGACATGGAACTTAAAAAAAAGTCAATAGTCTGGCAAACACTCAGTATTTTAGTTTACTTTGTGCTAAGCCTGTCATACTAATGTCCAGTCAATCTGCAGCTCCCTCTGTGGTTTCCATTACAGCTCCAGTGAGCCTCAGGCAGAGCGGCATAATAGAGAAACCACAGAAGTTTTGTTTGAGTTAACTGGAATCACGGCATGGAATAAGAAGCTAATTTTAAGAACCAGTCACTATAGATGTCCCTCGTGGTTTGCTGTGGTCAACATGGATTTGTTAATTAAAGTAGTGGACCCGAGGTAGTGTACTGAGGATCATATTTTTGATGAAATGGAAACTATATTAATCAGTATTTTGTTTTTTCTCCTGACAATCAGATACTCTGGTTAGATTAAGAGCCTCCAATTAAATCACAAGAGGCTATCTCAAATATCAGGTTTGATTACAGTTTGAAATTAAAACTCAAGATTAGTATTTGACAATCATTTAATATCCCCAAGATATGGCATGTCAGATGAAATGATAGTGTTTGAGTTGGCCAGTTTGAGCTGCGGCATATCCACAACATTAATTAGGGTGTTTAAAAACCTTTTAAGAATCATATTTATGTTCTATGAGAGGTTTGGCAGTGATAAGTGTAATGTAGGTTTTGGCTCATAGAGGGAGGCAGTAGTGTTTATGCAGATGTACTGACAGTCGTAGGTTTTGCCAAACCAAGAACCTGGCTGGTTGTCTTGATCCTGTAGTGCAAGAGAGAGAAATTTACACAAAATTGAAATATGAAAATAAGTAAGAAAGCAGTTTTTCTATTGTTGTAAAAGATGAAAATCTGTCACAGTTCACCAAACATGATGAAGACCACAGTGCAGAGGAACAAAAGCAGCCCTGATGTTCTCATCACTCGCGGCTGCCAAGGATTTGATGCTGATTCCAGTCGTGCTAGCAAACACCCAGAATTCATTCTGCATGTAAATCCTAGAAACCTTGGATTTTGTCGTTGACTTGCTTTAGAGCATTTCAAAAGAAAGTGGGTCAAGATGATGATAGTGACTACCCACAATGAGATGTACATACTGTGTTCACAACACATATGTTTAATTTAGAAAATCACCTCAATTAAGATTTACCAATAACATATGTAGCTGTATTTTCTGCTGATGCATAGGAGTATAAACCTCCATCTTTTACAACAGCTTAACTAAACTCTTCAATATGTTCATTTTTTTCCCTGATTTTTTTCTCAATTTTTTTCTCCATTACTTTCCCTGAAGCCCCACACACATAGGATGTTACATTTAACATCCTGACTACTAACTGCCCACTAACTTTTGACATGCAGTTCTCTGTGATTGAAGCCTTGGTAGGCGGAACACCGTTGTTATATAATGTCTTAGCTTTAAAGTTCAGAACCTTCCTTTTGACTTAGCTCCAGACAGAATATTTTAAAACCATATGTTCGCCTTAACCTGGTATTGTGCAATTAGCCTACCCGACTGTGTCTGCTAAATCCATCAGGTTACTCTGTTCTGCAGAGGTCCTCCACTGTAGCTCAACCAGAGAGAGCTTTATTTCAGTTGTGGCATTTCGACAAAGATTCTGGCCTTGAAAAGTTATCCTTTGTGCTTTGGAGAAACCTTTTCAAAAGCGCATCCCCAGTGTTGCAGTAAAGTAAATCAAAACTGGGCTTTAAAGTTCAAGAGCTGTCAGGATATTCATGGATGTGCTTATGGTATGGCATGTGATGGTGGATTAGGACTTATTTCTTTACAGTTCTGTCATTGGCAATTTTTATGATCTATTTTGGATTCAGAATGAATGAATGGCATAATCTACTCAAGAGTGGATAGAGTACATTAACAGCACTGTTTTTCATGGGTTAGTCACTCTTCACTATAGGTTGAACTTGAACCGATTCATGGCTGTAAAGTTAGTATCTTCAGTGTTGCAGGATCCAGATAACGGCTGACTGAAATTAGCCCTGAAATCTTGTGTGCTCATGGCCAACTTCCAGCAGCCCTCAATTACAATGCTGCAGAGCCAGAAAAAGGGAAAGAGGTAGACTGCAAGGAGCCCTTCAACTCTGCTGTACTGCTCTGTCACTCAAACACACTGTCACCACTACGACTGAGACGGATCACCACACTGCCTTCAGGGACACATGGGAGGCATTTAGTGCACCATATACACACACAGACTCACATACTATTGACACACAGATACACAGATGTTTTGTAAATGTTTCCTTGCTCCACTAGGGGGAGCCTTGAAGAGCTTAAAATAGACAACCTTTTCCTTATAATTTCATTTTGTATACCATGTGCCTTGGTAAATATTTCCTCAAAATAAAGCTATAAACTTTGCACACATGTCAAAACAGACATGAATTACATGAACATACCCAAAACCACAGAAAATTAAATCTGCTGTCATTATTTAATGAAAAAGACACTATAATCTTTGTGTGCCAGACACTCTGAGGTTTTGCATTATGCTGCAGATGGTGACAATCTTGTTGAACAATTTCCACACTGCTCCAAAATGTTTCTCAGTCTCGGTTACGGATCCTCTGCTGTGGTGTGGCTTGATTGCTCGCCTGGGCTTATTGTTTATACAAGAAATCCTAACACCCTTGTTCCTTTTAAATATCAATATTTGAATATTTCCCGCTTGGCTTGACATTCAAACTATTCATTTTAAAATGTAGTGTAAGACCAATGTTAGCTTTGGTTCAGTTAAATATTGACAAGGTTCTTTGAGGGCTGTTTCAAAACATAGCTACATGTGATGGCACATTAATATTAAATCCAGGACCTCACCTCCCAGACTTACATTAGTGGTACTGCTATGGTAAGCACACTGGGTAGTGATTTGTGCACCTTTTTAATTAGAGATGAATAGCTAGCCAAAAACTCCCTGTCTGAGGTAGTATGCTGCGGCCTGTGGGTTGAAGTTTTGTAGGGGAGAGCTTTCTGGTATGTAGAAGGAACAAGGTGTTAAATTATTAAGTGAACTAAGAAGTGTAGGAAAAATTTGAGTGCAGGTTATATTGTAGGTGCTGTGGCTGGGAACAGGGCCCATAAAACATGTGGGAAAGTGTTTAAGGCATACACTTATTTTTCTTAAACGTACTAACTCAGATTATTTTGACTCAGAAATAATACACCTTTTCTTAGTTTCTGCAGCTGTCAGGTTTTGATATCTCTCAGCTTTTCCTCTCTGTGTGTCTTCAGGTTTAAAAAGAAGGAGCCAAAATGAAGACAGCTGCCAAGGGTTTTGGGAAGTCTATAATGGACTCTTCAGGTTGGTGGAACAGAAGAATAGTGCTGATGGTGTATGTCGTCTTGGAGCTAGTAACTGTCCATTCAACCATCGTCCTGGGGACTCTTGAGCTACAGCTGGACGAGGAACAGCCGGCAGGCACAATTGTAGGTGACATCAGTGCCGGACTTCCTCCCGGCATTACTGCAGCACTGTACTTCATCTCAGACCATGAGGGCACAGGTGTGGGTTCTGATTTGGACATAGATGAAAGTACAGGCATTATTAAAACTGCCAAAGTTCTTGACAGGGAACTTCGGGATAGATACAACTTCATCGCAGTCACCATGACAGGTGTCACCGTGGAAGTGACAATCAAGGTGATCGACATAAATGACCACGCCCCAATGTTCCCAAGAAAACAGGCCACCTTTAAAATCCCTGAGCAGACTGCCATTGGCACCAGGTTTCCTCTCGATCCAGCTGTTGATGCTGATAAAGGCCAGCTCACAACACAGGGTTACCTTATCAAGGATGGAAATGTTGGCCAGGCATTCACATTGGAGACAAGGAGGGGCAGCAACGAGGTCCTTTATCTGGACTTGGTGGTCAATGCTATCCTTGACAGAGAGAAAAGATCCACCTATACTTTATCTCTGGAGGCCTTTGATGGTGGTTCTCCTAAGAGGACTGATCAGATAACATTAGATATAACTGTACAAGACATCAATGACAACGCTCCTGTTTTCAACCAGAGCCGCTACCATGCCATAATATCTGAAAACCTGCAGCCAGGAAGCAACATCCTGCAGGTGTTTGCCACAGACGCTGATGAAGGAGACAATGGGATGGTTCTGTATGAAATCAACCGACGACAAAGCGATCCAGACCGTTACTTTGTCATCGACTCTCGCACCGGCATCATCACACTCAACAAGCCACTGGACTTTGAGATGAGGCGGGTCCATGAGCTGGTGGTGCAGGCTCAGGACAACGCAACCCAGCCAGAGGTGACCAATGCCTTTGTCACCATCCATGTAAGAGACTACAATGACAACCAGCCCACTATGACTATAATTTTCCTCAGTGAGGATGGATCTCCAAGAATCTCTGAAGGGGCACAGCCAGGCCAGTATGTCGCTAGGATTTCAGTCACCGACCCAGACTATGGAGAGTATGCAAATGTCAATGTGTCGCTAGAGGGAGGAGATGGAAAATTTGCCCTGACGACCAAGGATAGCATAATTTATCTGATCTGTGTGGACCAGATACTTGACCGGGAAGAGAGAGACACGTATGATCTAAGGGTGATGGCAACAGACTCAGGAACGCCTCCTCTCAGGGCCGAGTCTTCCTTCGTCATCCAGGTGACTGATGTCAATGACAACCCTCCTCTGTTTGACCAGCCAGTCTACAGGCAGGTTATCCCTGAAGTGGTGTTTCCAGGGAGCTTTGTGTTACAGGTAACAGCTAGAGACAAAGACCAGGGACCCAATGGAGACATTAACTACAGCATCCTGCAAGACCGAGGTACTTACTCTGACTGGTTCAGTATAGACTCTGTTACGGGGATAATCACCACTCTTACCCAGCTGGATTATGAAAAGAACCCCAATCCCAGTATAACTGTGGTGGCCACAGATGGAGGGAAACCACTGCTGTCCTCCACTGCTGTAGTACACATTGTGCTTCAGGATATAAATGACAACGAGCCTGTTTTTGAGAGAAACTTCTACAATGTTTCCATCATGGAGAACACAGCTTTAGGAACCTGCATTCTTGAGGTAAGACTTTTTTTTGGAAAGGTATTTCATTGAAAGTTTGAGAATTGATTGATTTTTCAAACATACTCCTGCACTTTAACACTGAGCTCATGCTAAAGTTGAACTCAGCCTGGGGCCAATAGTGAAGAGCAAAACAAATGAGAATTTATTAGATAAATAGGACAGGAATTTGTCAGACTTTCCTTATTCTTTACATTCCTCTCTGAGGAGTTATGTTTTAATGGTACAACTGTTGAAATTGGACTGCCTTAGTGAGGATTTACCTGCAGATTTGGGCCAAGATGATCTCCTCCTTGGCTGTCCTCCCCTTCACCTCTTAAAATGTTTCCAGGGTAACAGAGGCAGTGCAAAGTACTTTGTCAGCCCAAGCACAAAGGGCTTTTTCACATATCCACAGACAGAGACAAATTCAGGGCTTTATCCAAAGAAATAGATGTCACTTCACTCTCAAAAGGCACCTTAATTAGGCTAGTTGAGCGTGAGAAAAAATGGCTTTAGACGACGAGATGATTTAAAGTTCAGACAAATTACAGCAACCCCAGCGACTGCAGTCCTGCTTGACTAAACAGATTGTTTTCTCAAATCATTTTTGGCCATCTCGTAAAAAAGACACAAATTTACAAAAAGACAGATTATTAGTTGTTTTAATCAGACTAGCAAAAATCAACACCTAGGTGTTAAAAAAAAAATTCTGTTACACAAGAGTCTGCAGTAGTATTGCATGGATCAAGGAGTTGGATGCAGAGTTTAGTCCTGACAGACGGCCCAGCAGACGAGATCTTGGCCCAGGGTTTGGCCTTGGGAGAGGGAGGGGTGATAGGAGACGCAGGCCTTACCGCGACTCCTGGCTCAAATACAGAAATAGAAGCTATAAGGGCTTCTTCTGGGAGGCCCCCTAATTATAAATCACAGGGACCACAAGGATAAGGAGAAAGGGGAACATACTGAAATTGATAATGGAAGTTGAAACAGAGTCAAAGAATAATTAAAAAATGTATGCTTTGGAGAACTGTAAGTCTCTACAATAACTCTTTCCAATGTGACCTGAAGTTCATGTTTTTTGAGGACATCTTAAAACCCATATTTCTTTTTCCAACTATATGGTCAGAGTTGTTTTTCTTTTATCTGCATTACCCCCAGAAGCATTACTACCTGCTCTCAAACTCTCAGAGTATGACATGTTTGATCAGTTGGCTCGCTCTATGAAGCGGTTCTTTAAAGCCACGGCTCTCTGGCCTCTCTCGGGCCTGCCTGGATGCTGCAGACATGCGGTTGGCGGGCCATGTGAGAACAGACGGTTTTTACTCAGGGTGCCAGCTCTACATCCAAACATCTCAGCAAGACATCTGATGTCTGCCTTTCTTTTTTTGCGCTGATGAAATTCCCACTGTCCCCCCTATTTTCCCAAACCCTGTGCTGTCCAAAAAACCCATTTCAATCTGGGTATTGTGACCATTAATTCAAACGTTTGAAGTGGCTCGATTATTTTCCTCTGCAGGTCACCAGCACAGCAGTTCATGATTATTCTAATATAGTCTGGCTCCACACTGCTGTGCCTGTGATATTTCGCTATATTTCCCTTGAACATCGATTGGTTTATGGATGACTTTGGAATTAGATGTGTGGGGAAAACAGATAACTAAAAATAAGGACTTAAGCCTATTAACAGCAATCAGTCTTGTAACGCAAAATGCTAAGATCTACTGCAAAGAAAATAGGTCATCCTTTAGAGGGGAAATCAAATACGACATGAAAAACATTTTAAAAACCACAGGCTTCATTGTGGAATGTGTTTCATGAGCCATTAAGATTCTGTTTTCCATTATTAGTTTAACAAGTTTGATTGTGCAGAAGTCAAATATAACGGTTACTCTCAAGATCTGATGCCATAAGGAATAAAAGGATGCTGGTGTTCTCTTGCATATATTTATTTGACGAAGAGGTACTGTTACACTGTGTTTTAATACAATAGTTTGAAGTCCTCTAATAATAATAGAAAGCGTACAAGATTAAAGCCAAAAATTACCAAGAGGTTATTAGATAAAGCCTTGAAGTGTGTGGCTTTTGATTCCTGACATGGCTGAAGTGTAAAAAAAAAAAAAAAAAAAAAAAAAAAAGATGTCATCAGGGATAATGAGGAACATCAGAAAGTCTTAATATGCCTGAATCCAGTAAAGCAAAGCCTGGTATTCTTGGCTTTGAGAGGGATTTGCCATCAATTCTCCTTCGTGTTATTTCACTTATGAAATAATAAAGCACTCCCATTGGTTATGTCAGAATCTCACATTGGGGAATAATTTACACCTCATAGTGTTGTGGTTTTTAGTTGGTTTGGAGTGAATTGGCCCTCTGTCTGTTTCGGGGGGTCGTTCTGGCTCCACTAGAAAGGTGAGAGGGGGTCTCCAGGCAGCTGAGGGGGAAATGAGCCCTGACAAGTGCTGGCATGAGTGGCGGAGGTGACACAAGCAGGGGGGCTTCCTCGTCTGTCCGTTGGGCTGTCCCTCCAAATTCTTATCTGATCTCACTTCATTTCTCATTAGCTGGGTTTGAGGATAGGCCAGACCTAATTTTTTAAACCTCTCTCCCCTGTGGTCATGACAGAGTGGACCGCTTGTCATTTCTGGAGCCCCTTTCGCAACGTGAGACCAACACTGATTGCTACAATTGAAGGAGCAAATACTTCCATGTTTTTTAATGGTTGAAGCTGTGGCAAAAGCTTCTGCTTTGCCCCCCAAAGTGCTTCCTGACTGAGCACTGTCTTGGCAACTTCTTGACTGGCAAACACATCACGTCCCTTAAAAAAACACATCTGTGATATTGTGTAGAGTTGTGATGCTTTGGCTGTGATTTCTTGCGAGCAACATTATGGGCCATTTTTAAGTTGAGATAGCTAGTCTTTATAATCAGTGGAACATGAAATACCTCTCAAACACATTCATTATTTCATTGAAATCTTGAAAGGCAGCCTTGTTGAAAGGGGTGCCTCAGTAGAGTGGCACTCTCCATCATTTCTTCATCCCTGCCTCCATAAAAGCAATCAGTCTATGGGGAGAAATACTGCTCATAATTGCCCTGGAGAGAAACTCTGAATGATTTGAAAGAATTTGTTCCATTCACACTGGGTTTTCACAGTTTTTGTGTTCTTTAGTGACCACCTACTGCTGACCACCAGGCAGGCTCTAATAACACTGATACCAATACTTTGAGCCATTGTGTCCCTGAGCTTTATTACCTGATTTAAAAAAATGCTGGTACCGCACTGGTCTGAGGTAATATCTAATCCAGAAATGTTCATAATGCGCTCTGCAGAACAGGATAATGATCTGTTTTTCACAGAATAATTACAGGAGTTTCTTTTATTGGCGAGGGGACTTTGGAAATCCTGCAGAGCTGCAGTACAGCAGCTTTTCACAATCTGCCTTTATTCTTTTGTTTGTGCAAAAATAGCTATGTAACATCACCAAGACTTAGTTGGTATTTTACATTTAAGAATTGAAAAGTATCCTCAAAAGTGACCCGTAGACAATAAATGATGATTGAAAGAAATGTGCAAGTGGAATGTGAAGAAATGAATTTGTTTAACATTTCTTTGTGGCTCTCCTCAGAAAAGCATCCCTCTGTATTTTAGATGCTAGTCTTCTCAGTGTAAACCCCACATGGCACCATCTTTAAATGCAGTGCGTGCAAATAGCTCATTGTGATTGTCACCTCAATTAAAATTCTGCAAAAAACAAACAATGTAACATGCAATAATTTGGTGACAAAAGGGGATACCTGACTGCTCAATCACATTGCCACATTTACCCTCTGTAATCCACTCAGTTAACTTGTCAAATAAAGCTTCGCTGGTGTAGCCAAACTATGGAGATGAGTGAAATTGCCAGTTTCAGGATACTATTTTGGTACACAAACCGTGGAATCAGTTCTCACCAGACATTTTTCAGGGGATGGTTTGTGTCAAACAAAATGTTCTCTTGTCTGTTTTAATATCAGACTGGCGCGTCTCCTGTGAGATTGGTTTAGCTTGAGGCCAGCTGACTCTGCTTTTGGTCTCCTCTGTTTCTTTTTCCTCGTGCTATAACTACCGAGCTTCGCTGTGGCTCTGTGGTATAACAGTATTTCAGGGAATGGTGAAATTGCAGGAAACTGGATGTGCTACTTAATGTGTTCGCAAATGTAATACTTCCTTGAACACTTACTCCTGGGCCTTGCAGGGGCACTGAAGCGAACATAAACACTGATGTACATCTGGATGGAGTGTGGGTGTTCAGGTCAAAGTTGCTGTGCTCGAGACAGCCAAGCGCATTTTATTGTGTTCAGACGTCCATCAGCAAATCCACTGCTTCTCCTTTTTCCAAAGGCACGGGAAGAGGAGAAAGCTGTGGTCAAACTTTTCATGATTTAGGGTTGAAAACAGAAGCTGGGTGGAAATATTGCTTATTAGGGGTAAACCGAATCTCCAAGAGTTTGAACACCAAACCTTGGTAGAGAATAGACAGAGCCCTTATTTGTGAATTATTAGTATAAGTAAAACATGTGATTGATGTGCAATCATTTTAATCAGAGTCCATGGTGATGTCCTTAGATAGCTATTAAAGTCAAACTTATTGTCCAAAACTCAAAAGTACGAGATGGAAATGATATAAACTGAGAAAAGCAGACCTTCTCATATTTCAGAAGTTAAAGCCAGTGAGCGTTTGCCTTTTATGCTTGATAAATGACATACAGGGTGCATCATTTATCAAAATTACTGTCAACAAGCTAATCTAATTGTTTCAGCAGTGGTTTTATTTATGTGAGAGAGCCAAGCCTTTTGAATAGTAAAGGGTTTTGACTTTTTAAAACATTTTTCTGACCTAATGTTTTGAGTTCATATCTTTTCTGATCCCGCTCAGGCATGTAAAATTGTAGCTGTCTTTCAAAGGTGCAGCCAAAAGAAAGTGAAACTTCTAAAAACATGTAAACAGTGATGTCGATGGATGTTATGTGGCTGCTGAGTG